TAAGGTCCAGGGGGACCAGGGCTCTGAGGGCTGCCTGGCTGCTGAGTGCTCAGTAAACAGCAGCTGCTACTGATGGGGGTGGCTCTGATGCCCCAGATTCATCTTCCTAAAGCACTGCTTTGGTCATGGTGCCCCCAGACAGACAGCTGATAACCCCCACGCTCCCACCCCCTTGCTTGGCACAGGAGTCTTAGTGGACTGCTGTCACCCTCCCTCACCTTCCCCTCACCACAGCCCCTTTCAGCCCTCAGCTCCACTGGGTTGCCCACCCTGCTCTCTTCCCTCCATCAGCCTCCATAAGCCTGTGTCCACAGGAAGCTACATTCAAGGGCCACCCATTTACCCTTCCTCCTTCTCCCCCGTGACCTGTTTGGGTCTTTCTTTGTCCGTGGAATCTTCTCTGCCCTCTCCTGTCTCTGTTCTCTTTTCCAAAGCCTTTGCCTCTTGATCCCTCATTAGTCACAGTCCATTTGGGGCACTCTTGTGGGGGCCTCTTGCCTGGCCATTTACCTTGCTGCACATTTTTGCATCTTGTTCTCCCTGAGGAAGGTAGGATCCTGCCTTATGCACCTCTGCATCCTGCAGGGCCAGCACCATGCCTTCCATATTGGAGGTACCCAGGTGTAGCCTAAGATGAAGGGACAATGGTGAGGCTTGTGTCCTTCCTGATGATGTGCTACTGATCTGAATATGGCTATGGCAAAGCAGGCACTCTTGCGAGCCATATCTGTGCCTAATGTCTGCAGTAGAGCAGCCACGCAGAGGTTCAGGCTCCTGAAAAGATAAAACTCACCCGTGCAACCTCTGCCTCCAACAGCAGGATAGAGGAGCAGGTGTTGAATGGGAGGAAGCCTAGTGTGCTAACAGGGCACGCTATTGGCCCGTATCACAGAGGACGCTACTTATTGGACATCTACCATGTGCTTGCAACTTATTTAACTCTTCAAATTCTCTTCCAAGTAACTTTTTACTCCATTTCACAGATAGGGAAACTGAGGGCCTGAGAGCCTGAAGTGAACTTCAAGGAGATTATATGTCTTATAAGCAGCAAAATTAGAAGCAGAAAAAAAATATTTATGCAATATTTTCCCTATGCTGGGTACTAATCTAAACATTCACTTTATTCTCACAATAGCAGAAACTACTAACCCAGTTTGCTGGAAGAGAGCAGATTAAGCAAATGGCCTGAGGTTACACAGCTGCTAAATGATGGAGCTGGGATCTGAGCTCACAAAGTCTGCTATGTAGGCCTTGTCTTTACCTGCTGACCTGCATTTTGTGGGTCCCACTCTCAAGCTCAGACCCAGGTTCAAGGCTCTCCTCTGCCCACATGCTTCACATTTTAGCTCCTTTCCAAGAAAGTCTCTCTCAACTGATCTCTATACAGAAATCCCATGATGTAATCTCTGGACACTGCCAGGCATTGGGCCAAACCCAGTGGGCTCTCTAGGGGCAAGTTCATGAACAAACACTGGCTGGAGCTATGTGCCTGGCAGCACAGCTAATCCTATCTTGTCCCCTCAGAGGTGGGTGCTGCAACCCCACCAGCAGGTGGCCTGGCTCCCTTGGGTAGGCAAGCTGTGTGGGGGGGGGGATGAATAAGTCCTAAGCAAAGAGCAGCCTTCCTCCTCAGATCTTATTTCAGGACAGAATGCATCTCAGCTACCATCACATGGTTACCAGTTACTTGCCTGGGGTTCGATCCTCTTGCACTGCTGTTCCTGGTCAGTGGCTCCTGGGACTCCTGGGGTACTTCAGGAACTCCAAGCTGCCTGTTTGCCTCTGCGGCCTCTGGCCCAGCTCCCCTGCCACAGCACCGGGAGCCGGGTATGCTTTACCTGATTAAGCTTCAAACGTGATGTGTGCATGCGACACACCCAGAAGGGGAGGGGGGAGAAGAGGGGGCTCCTGAGGAGGAGAGAGGCCACTCCTGGCCTGCTGTGATTGGTTGCCCCAAGCTTGGGCAAAAGACTGGTAGCTCTGGGCTGGAGCCTAGGGAGAGCCCTGCTGGGTCCTCGGGCACAGCCCAGCTGAGGGGCAAAGGGGAACCATGTACGGCCCAGTGGTTGGGTCTTAGGAAGAGAACTGTGTGTAGAGGGAGAGACCCAGGAACACATATGGTCTCTGGGGGTGGGGTGGGGGGATACTTCGCTTAATGGAGATGACTCTAGAGACGCTTTTCTGATACCTGTTTGGGGTAGGGGCTGTTTGGTGATCGCTGGACCCTCCTGGAGTGGCAGGTCAGAGCAGCAGGGCCTATGGAGTGACCCAGGCTGCTGTCCTTAGGGCATGGAGGAAAGTGAGACTCAAAGAGGGAGGGAGTTAACCTGTGGATGTGCAGGTAGCCCAAATCTGGCTGAGAAGAGCAGCTAATCCAGAGAGGAGGCTTAGCTAGAAGCTGGGGGACCTGTATTCCAGCAGCAGCAGCATCTTCTCCTTCACCCCGGTTTAATTTGATGCTGCTTCTCTGCAGGTAGGAGCCAGGGCAGGGGCTGAGAAGCCAGCAGAGACCCCTCCCAGCAGCAATGGGGGGATCTTACTTCCCACCTCATAGATATGTGCTAAGAATAACAGATGGCCACTACACCTACTGGGGGCTTATTACAACCTAGGCATGTTGCACATGCATGTGAGTGCAAGCACGCACTCACACATATACACACTCATATGCACATGCACATGTGCACAAGGCACATTTTCTTCTTACAGTATCCAATGGGATGTCACTATTCCAAATTTTCAGTAGGAAGACCCCACACTGGGATTTGGAGCTTGCTGTGTCCACACTTGGCAACCATCACTCCACAGTGCTTGGTTGGGCTGGGGGAAGGTCTGGGGTCTACTGTAGGTCCATTTGGGTTGGACCTCAGCAGCCCAGCCTTGGGAAACCCTTTGCTGGCCCTTTTTACTAGTTCCTTAATGAGGAGACAGAACTGAGAGAGAGCCAGTTGCTGACAGTTGTCAGCTCTGAAGGGACCAAATACCAGTTGGTTCAAACCTGCATCATTAGTACAGGCTGCTCCCACCGTGTCTGCCACTCGTTCCCAGCACCCTTTGTGCTGTCAGCATAATACTGCTCTTGATGTATGCTCACTCCCTGATCTTTTCTACTGGCCCTCAGCATCAGCATCCACTGATTCATCATGTTATTATGTGCTAATTGCTTTTTTCTAATACTCATTAAAATGCATAAGTACTTGTGGAAGGCCTGTTCTCTGGGCACATCTGAGATTGCCTCACTCACATGAACTGCTCTTTGAGAAGCCCTGGGCAGGTTTAATAGCCTCCGTAGTCATCTAGAAAAGTGGGGCTCAGAGAAGAGGTCTGCCTTGCCTGAGGTCACAGAGCAAGGAATGGCAGAGCCAGTGCCAACTAGAGCCCTAACTCTCTGTACCCCTCTCATGTAGTCATTAGAGGATCCCCCAAACCTCCAGGAGCTCAGCAACCTCAGGCCTGCCTCCAGACTCCATGCCTGGGAGAAAAGACCAGCCCAGGGATGCTTTGAGCCGAGCCCCTGTAGGGAGATCTGGCTGATGAATCAGGTTGGCCTGAGGTTTCTGATATCAAGAATCTCTAATAATGAATGGTATAGTCCCTGGTTTGAGGGACAGAAGGCCATGCTGTGACGGTAACTGCAGCAATGTGAACAGAGTAGCACGTACTCAGTGCGTCCACATGGAGGGGTTAGTCTAAGGGTCCTCACATTGACAACACAGTCCTTACAACCAGGGTGGCAGTAGTTGCTACCCCACCATGCAAGCAGGAATGGGAGTTTTAATATATTTTATTTAGTATTTTTTTTAATGTGTATGAGTGTGTTCCCTGCATGTATGTGAGTGTACTCGTGTCGTGCAATGTCATCAGAAGAGGGCGTTGGATTCCCCTGGAACTGGAGTTAAGGACGGTTCTAGCCGCCAGGTGAGTGCTGGGAATCAAACCCGAGTCCTCTGCAAGAGCAGTCAGTGCTCTTCACAGCTGAGCCATCTCTCCAGCCCCAGGAATGGGAGTTTTAAATGTGACTTACAGCTGCTCAGCTGGTGAGTGGCAGAGTGAGGCTTGCCCGCAGCTGCTGGGCCCAGTGTTCATTCACTAACCTGTGATCTTTGATCTGAGGGAGACTCTACCCAGTGCCTCATCTGGCAGGCATCCTTTGCTAAGCATGGATCGTAGATTGGACCCTGGTTGTGGCCCTATCATAGACATGGGGACTGACTCCAAGGAATGGGGGACTGCCTAAAGGCTCAACTAGGGCCCACTGCTCCCTCTGCCTACTAACTCCCAGAGCTTTGGAGGAAGGGCCTGCACCTTGGGGAATAGATGTACAGCCTTAGGCTTATTTAAGGCAGCAAGCTCAGGCTTAGGGCATCCCTCTTATAGTCTATTGGTCACTTCTTCCAGTTCAGTTCCCTCCTTAGCTCTGCAAAGCACAACTAACCACTTTGGAGCTGGTGGGAAGCCCAAGTTAGCTCCTGCCCAGGCCTTCTGGCAAGAATAAAACACCCCAGAGGGCAGCTTTAGGATCAGTGGCTTCCTGGCACCCACAGGCAAGTGTATAGTTGTGGGGCTGGTCTAGCACCCCTGCAGCCAAGGGCTTGCAGAGGCCTCACCCAATATCTCATGCCAACTATTCTTGATTACAGGTCAGAAGGGCAAGCAGACAGTGGCCGCAATAAAAAAAAAAACTCATGTACTTTAGGAACTCTTGGCCAGGAAGTTTTGAAACAGGGAAGTAACGTGATTGGATTACACACAAGCTCTCTGATGGTTCCTAAGAATGGCCAGTGAGTGAACAATTGTGAACTTGAACTAGGGCAGGGATAGCAGGCAGGGAGGGGAGGGGAAGACACTTGAACTATTTGGTGGTAAAGTTGGTTGGGGTGACTGGATGCAAGAGCTGCAATCAAGGGAAGAATCAAGAATCGACAACCCCAGTTATTGGCTTGAACAAGTTGGCAGGTGGTGGCACTACCAGATAAGATAAAGAATGTAAAAGGAACCAATTTGGGGCAAAGGTGCGTTTAATCACAGACATACTGGTTTTGAACAGATGCTGGGGTGCCCAGAGGACTGTCCATCTGACAGCCAGAGAGTCAGCCTGGAGCCCGGGTTTGGCCAGGCCTTGGCTAGAGTCAGATTCTGTAATGAACACCAAAGAGAATGAACTTCCAGGGAGAGGACTTTTGATTGAGGACTTATAGATTGAGTCAAGTTGGCTGAGAACAGAGGTCTGAGAAATAGCAATAGTCAAAGAGATGTGGAGGAATAGTGAGGCCCAAGGGAGGAGGCCCAAGGGGCATGCATGGTCACTGAGACGAAGCAGAGGACTTTGTGAAGAAGGGAGAAAGATCAAGGTGTCAAATGGAGCAGAGAGGGCTAGGAAGGTTAAGACCAGGGACATGCTCTGCAACTGGCAACTGCAGCCATCTGCAACCTCACTGGGAACTGTGGAGAGGGGTGTGGAGGGGGAGCTCAGCCTACCGAACGTACAGAGTGGCTGACTGGAAAGCGATAGGAGGGCACAGTGTCAGGGAGACTTTGCTGCAACTGTACTGGACCTGGTACCATGAAGGCTGACAGGCCAAGGAAAGGGGCAGGAAGTAGGGTGAGGCTGAGGAGACAGTGAGGGTTCCAGGAACTACCATTGAGGGGTGGGTTGGTTTTGAGTTGACACAGCTAAGTTGGTCAAGATGAATATGAACAAAGACAATTTTGCAGATGGAGGTAGGATTATTAAGATCACACCTAATGGTCCCAGTTTTCTTGGTATAGGATGCAAGATTTTCTAGAGTCTGGTGAAGGGAAAATAGAAGAAGACATTTGCTAGCAGTAATAGCTAACGGCCCGGAGACACCATGAACCTGCTGTGGTCCCACTGAGCCTCTTAAAGAAGCGTTGAGTAGCCCAGGAAGGAGCAGAGAAGCTGGGCTGGGCTGGATTGCTTTTGTTGGCAGGTATGTAAGGATGGCTGTCAGGAAACAGAAGTGCAAGGGTGATGGAGGCCACAGGAAGCAGCTAGCCTCCACCTCCATTCACCTCCTTTTGACCAGCCTCTACCTGTAGAGAACAATTCCAAGTCTCCAGTTACCAAAGCCAAGCCCAGCCAGCTGTTCTAGGAGGGGTAAGGTGCTACACAACAGCATGCTGGGGGAGTGGATGAGACAGAATTTCTGAACAGGGCACTACATTGTGCTCACTTTCCACCATGAGATAGGATGAAGAATGCCACTTCTGATCTTTTCCATCTTGACTATGCAACCTCTCCCTTGGGGGGCAGGGGGCCTCTCCATCAAAGTGAGATGCACCCTGGAATCCATGTCTGCATATCAGAATTATATGATTGATGTTTGGTTACAGATTGAATCCTTACTTAGTGAACACTCATTCCTAATCATAAATCTTCATATACTGATCTTATTTAATGCGGAGGCTGATTTCTAGCTAGCAGCAGGTTCTTGTTTCCCATCAAATCCTTAAAACTACCAGATCCTGGGTATTTCTGTAGGACTTAACCAAGACTAGGAAACAAAGCTTGGGGGGCTGGAGAGAAGGCTCAGTGGTTAAGAGCACTGGCTGCTCTCGCAGAGGATCCAGGTTTGATTCCCAGCACCCACATGATGACTAAAAACAGTAACTCCACATCCAGGGGGCCTGACACCCTCTTCTGACTTCTGAGAGCAATGCACTTACATGCAAGCAATACACTCATACACGTAAAATAAAAATAATGAAATATAAAAAAATGCTTGAGGTCTTTCAGGTAGAGGGACTGCAGAGGGAGTCCTTAGGTTATAGGTTGACCTTGGGTTATAGGTGAGTTATTGGTAAGTTAACGATCATCTGCCTCTTTTATAAAATAAGCACATGCCAATAGCAAGATTCCTAATAGGTGCTGAGCCCTAGGAGGGATGAGAAAATGCCAGGAATTAGCAGCAGACACATGTGGTCAGCACTGGTCCTCAGTCCTAGTCTTGCATTTATGACCACGTACCTCCTGCTAACTCCACCATGGACCTCATGCTTGCTAAGGGCACTTGCTCAGAATTCCATAATTAGCTTTCTTTCTTGATTCCAATACTGCCTCTAAGTCCCATCCACATCATACCCCTTCCTGTCCCTGAGTACTTGTACTTAGCTCTGAACTTCAGCAATCTTTGCAAACTGAAACTGCCAACTCAAGTTGTTCTCTTGCCCCAAATCTGTTACCAAGAACCAAACACAGGCTCCACAGAACTTCCATGCGTGTTCATCTGGACAACCCCGAAGGACAGCAGATACAACCCAAAAGTCTTCTCCTTAGACACTTCCCACCATGCATTCAGGGGCAAGCTGACCTAGAGCTGGACTCTGTTGAGTGGACCCTCTGGAAGCTGCTGACTCTTCCTTGTAGGACAGTTTTTTTGACTGGTCCCTCCAGTCACCCTCCCCTCCCCTACCACCTGCTGGCTTTCACTTGGGAACACATTATACCACAAATGTGCCTGTAGGGTATGAGGGTGACATCAGGCACTGTGCATTTTCCAAGGACTATCCCACACTGGTGAAGAAAACACAATGTTGGGCCATTTCCCAACAGCCAGTTCATCATGGCTTCTTGTGATGTGCCTACGTGCAAGTAGAACCTTAGTCTGCATCTCTCCCCTTGGCAGGTGAGTCTTTTACCCTGGCTTTGCAAGGGTCTCTCAGCCTGGACCTCCCCAGGACAATGATCTGCCCCTTCTTTGGGTCAGCATGCTTAATCAGGTCTCTTTTAAAACACTTTCGTATAGTTCCCCTGTATTGCTTAAATCCAGAAAATGAGAGAAACAGAACTTAATGAAGCCTTCCTTGATTTACAGACAACTCTAAGACAAGAGAAGGACAAGTATTTGTCTCCATGCATGGTACACTGAAATTCAGGGACAAGTAAGGATCCAAGGACAGAAGCCATTCAAGTCCACTGCTGCTCAGCCTCATGCCATGTGGTCCAACTTTGTGGCTCAGCAGCTGCAGTCACTGGGGAGTGGTGGGAGGCTGCCTGGCCTCCTGATGAGGGTGGTAACAGCTGCCAGTACTTGGGGATGCATGGGCAAAGGCAGGCATCAGTGGACCCAGGAGCCCAAAGAGAAGGAATCAGGTTTCCAGGTGGGCTTTGGAGACCACCACAGGCTCAGTGGCACCAGAACAGTTCCTGAGGCCAAGTAGGGGCTGAGGTACTAGCACTGGAGGAAGTAGGAGTAGGACCACAGCAGCCAGGAGCACATGCTGAGTGCTGGGTCATGCTTTCCTCCTGGATACCATGTTCTTAAAGACACAGCTCCATCTTTCAAAGGGTAATAAGATCCCCAAGAGGTGGAGCTGGAAGGGGTGGCCAAGGTAGAACAAGGAGATAGATTTCACCTACTGTGTCCGCCTCAAATGTCTCCATCCCTTCTGGCTTGCCTTCCCTTCCCTCTATCCCAGAGACCCACAGAGACCAGAGGCTCCATCAATCTCCCTAGTGATAACAGTTCAGTACATTTCTAGAGAGGGAGAAGGACAGATGCCTTTTGAAGGGAAGATGTGGGGAAGACTGTAATGAGGGAAGGGAACCTCTGGCCCCGTCCAGTTATAGAAGCTGGTAGTCATGGCCGGAGTCCCTGATGCAAACGTGTTGGTCATCTAACTGAGCATCTTATGTCGATCGAAGACTGTCTTCCGCTGCTCCTGCACCTGTAGCTTCCACCGCTGTTGAGCACCTTCCACGCGCTCCAGAACAGTGTTTGCTCGGGGTCCTCCAAGGGATGCAGCAGGTGCTGCCATGGAGCGTGCATCCTGTAATAGAAAGGAATAGTGATCTGGCATGATGGGATGGAGGGGCTTAAACTCTGGGTCATGAGAGTCTGGCATGGAACAAAGTGCCAGGGCTGTGGGTTTGCTTCCTGAAGGTTCAGCTGCAGAACCTAACAGTGTGTCCAACCTGTAAAGCCATAGTGTCTGCCCGGGGCCAGGAAGAGTATTTTCTGGGGCCCATTATTTTAGCAGAGCTGGTTCAAGTTCAGGTCCCAACCCAAACCTCACAAGCCTAAGTCTCAGAGGAAGTATGAAGTATTAGCTTCAAGACCTCACTTACATTAAGGCCCAAATACTCAGAGCTGGTACTACGTTGCAGACCTCCTTGACCTGCCCTACTGCCCAGGTGACAGCAGGAAGGCCAGGGACCAGGCCTTGGCTACCCTGAGATGGCTCCTCTGCTCCAGGAGGTGAGGGGTGTACTGAGGAGTCTAGTCTGTACAGCTCATGGCTGCAGGGTCTATTGGCATGCAGCGGGAGGGGGAGGCGGAGGCATTAGATATATACAACACAAAAAGCTTGCTTCCCCCGGGAAAGAGAGGATGGGACATCAGCGTCTGCCAGTGGTGGAAGCTGGACCCCTGCATTCCCATTCCCGGGCCTGCTGTGACCACTCCCCTGCTTGTCAGCTCAGCTCCCTCTCTACCTGCCTCCCTGTTCCCCCTTCCCCTTTGCTCTCAGACCTGCTTCTGTCATTAGTTTTTCCCTAATTACCACTTTTCTGCCTCTGAAGCTCCAGAGCCCGTGCATTTCCTGCAGGACCTAAAGCTGATCTTTGGAGGGGAATTAGACCCGAGGGCCAGGCCCACAGCCCACGGGGATTTCCTCCCCAGCTCTCCCCGCTTCTCATCTCCTGCCACACATCTCTTAAAGGATTAGCACACCTCTCTAAGCCCAGAGCCGCCCAGTAAATGCAACTTTGCCTCTAATGCCCTGAGCTGGCACAGCTTCTGTCGCCACACAGCTGCTAGGCTGGGGAGCAGGGCGGAGCAGCAAGGTATAGGTGGGCTGGCAGTACAGAGATGGTTGGCTAGCAAAGGGAGTGGGAGAAGAGATTCCTGTCCTTGTAGCACAGAGCTGGGTGATTCACCTTGAGAGACCTTGTTTCTAAGGTGACTTAGAGATGGTCCCTGGAGAACCCCTGCCCAAGACCCCAAGTGGGTATCCTCTGCAGTCCAGGTGAGGCTCAGGAACACCTGAGGAGCAAATGCTGGCAGCATCAGGCAGTGGGTACACAGAACCTGGTTTCTGTGCCTGGGCCAGGGGTTACCTGCTCCTTCTGGCATTAGACTCCCCAGCACCTATCTCCTGAAATGACTCCTCTGCTCCAGGGGGATAAAGGGCCTGCTGAGGAGTCTGTAGAGGTTACAGCTCTGGTAGTAGTGGTTGAGGGAACCCAGGTTTATAGTGGAAGCTGGAAGGACGAAGCTGACTGGGCTACTTGCCAATGTCCTTGGACAAGTCACTTCATTTCTCCAAATCATAAACCTAGATTTCAATATCATAAACCTATATTTTTGAGGCTTTTTCTACTGTATGCCTGTCACGAGGAATTATATTTATCTGATGACCTGGGCATAGTCACATGCAGAGGAAAAGGGTTCCACTAAACATAGCATGATATATAGATATTCTCAACTCTGTTCCATTTCAGTTGTTAAATCTTTTTTAAAAATATTTTATTATTTTATCGTGTATGAGTGTATTGCCTGCATGTATATAAATACACCTGTACTGTAAAATGCTTGAAGAGGTCAGAAGAGGGCGTTGGAGTTACAGACTAGAACTGGAGTTACAGATGTTTATCTGTCACCATGTGGGTACTGGGAATCAAACCCCGGTCCTCTGCAAGAGCAGGCAGTCAGTGCTCTTAACCATTGAGCCATCTCTCCAGTCCCCCATTTCAGTTTTTAAAATTCTATCATAGCCAGGTGTGGTGGAGAAGGCTTGTAATCCCAGCTACTTAGGAAGCTGAGGCAGAAGGATAGCAAGTTCAAGGCCAGTATGAACAACTTAGTGAGCCCCTGTCTTAAGATAAAAAGTTTTAAAAAGAACTGGGGATGGAGCTCAGTAGAAAAGTACTCACTAAACATGCGAAAATCCCTAGGGCCAATTTCTAGCATCACACCAAAACCAAAAACCAAACCAAAACAGAAATCCTAGGCATGTGCCACAAAATTCCTTTAGTGACCTAATGTGCTGTGCCCTACAGCTCAAACACTGGTTTGTGATTAGTGGATAGAGTCCAGCAGGGGGAAGTCCATACGTCAAGCACCAAGTGAACTGGCAGACACAGGACAGGAGCTCAGGTGGCCTTCCCTCTGGTAGTTTAGCACAATGGTTGAGGGGGTCTGTAAGCTCAAACACACCTGGCTTTGAATCTTGGTTCTGACCCCTACCAGATATATATGGCCTTAGGTGAGTCATCTTCTCAGAACCAATTTCTTTTTTCTTTTCTTTTTTTTTGAGACAGGGTCTCCCTGTAGTCCTAGCTGGCTTGGAACTCGCTATGTACTGTCTTCAATCTCACAGAGATCTGCCTGCCTCTGCCTCCTAAGTGCTGGGATTAAAGGCATGCACCACTATGCCTAGCCAGAACTGATTTCTTTACCCACAAGGTGGAAACTGAAATGGCCTTAATAACGTAATGAATGTAGGAGCCTTTGTCAGCACCCAGAGATAGTAAACATTTAAGTTCAGTGTGATGAGTATCAAATCCTCGTTTTGGGATCACTGAGGCAGGGGAAGGGCAGAAGGCAGGCAGCCTGTCAGAAGCGCTGTTCTGAATGACCATGGCTGCCAGACCACCTTCAGACTCTGCTGCTCCCAAGCTCTGCTGCACTTCCTGAGCAGTCCATGCAAAGAACACACCTCTGCCCAGCTGGGCCTCAGCATGGTTGTGGGGATAAGATGGGTATCAAAGACCCACCCAGCCTGGGAAGCTGTTGGCCTACCAGGACTGACCCCTGACCCCACACCTGCAGCTCTGTGACCCAAAGGAGCTGCTTTTACTCCCTACTCCCAGGCTTGTCCATTTTAGGACCAGCATTGTCCTGGATATGACCTTGGAAGGGCAGGCCTAGGGTTCTCTAGGGCAAACTGGAAGGGTGGGAGAGCAGCAGCTCTGCTCCTAGACTGTCTAAGGGAGTGGGAGTCAGAGCAGAGCATTAAGGGAGCATGTTGCAACTCACCACATTGCCACAGCTCCATTTATCAGCACTCATGTAAAGTCTCAGCAAACAGCTTCCAAGAGGGAGAAAGCTGTTGCTGAGAGGTTCCATGTCCTCATGGCTAATAGTCTGATTAAAAGGTATTAGAGACTCCACATCTGTTTCCTACAAGACCTACAGTAGGCCTCATCCCTGCCTCCTCATCCAGCAGTGCTGGCAGATGATGATGGAGACAGCAAGGGAAACTGCCACCTCTAACCCTTCTCCTTCCAGGGTTGAGTCTCAGGGAGGCAGAAAGTAGGGGATAGATGGAGCCCCTCCCATAGAAAGACATGAATATGGATGGTTTTCTAGAGGTCCCAAGTAACCTGACCAATGTGACCCTGACAAGTATGAGCCACCAGTCTCCTTGCCAGGTACTTCATAGGGATTAGTCCCAAGCTCACTCATTCGCAAATGGGCAACATCACCCTCATCTTGTGGCAGAGCCATTTGAACTCTGAAGGGGGAATCACCTTGCTACCCAGAGTCAAACGGCTGCTCAAGGCCAAGTCACAACCCATACCTGTGTCTCCTGTCTTAGGACTCACTTGTCTCCTTCTTCAACTGGTTTCTCCAAGACAGAACCACATGGACAACCAAAAAAGCAGGTACAAATCACCTCAGGCCTAGAGCAAGGACAAATGCCAGCAGGAGATTTGGGGCCAGAGGCCCCTCTTCAGGCTGCCTCCAGTGCCTGCAAAACCTTCAGGTGCATGATCCCAACAGTGAGACTGAAAGCAAGAACCTCTACATCTACTCCACACTTAGAAAACCCACATCCTGAGGTCAGCAAGGATAGCCAATGGCATAGCTAGAACCCGACTAGGACTGCTCTGAAGTGCAGTGATTCCCCTGAGATGTTCTAGAAGTGTCTGTTGAATGGTGTACCTTCCTATTCTATCCTCAGGGGGAGGAAGCCATCTGAATGGTCCACGTCAGTGTTTCTTTTGTTTTACTGTCCGACCCTAGGGCCAGAATCCTCAGCACATGCTGCCCACCCAATCTGCAGGCAGGAAGGTCCACTCCTCAACAGCCCCTGCTTTCTCTTTTCCCAGCCCTCCATATCCTTCATTTCCAACATCCTCATCATCTTTGTCTACTTTGCACTCTTCTCTGCTACAGGCCTCAGAACTCTACCCACTGCCCAATTGGGGTGAGAACTTTGAAGACCCTGTAAAAGCTCAGGGGCCCATGCTGAGCATGGTGGAGACAGCTAGAGCCTCAGAGAAACCCTCATTTCTCCCTCTTCAAAGAGGGCCAGCCTTGTACATCTAAAACAGCTCTGTTGCCACTTCTGTCCCCACAAACATGCTGGCTTCCTCCTTTCAAAGGGCGTCTGAGCCCAGGGATTAGACCTAATGCCACTGGAATCCGGGGAGGCAGCGCCCAGCAGCCAGGCCCACTGAGGCTCTGCCAGCGCTTTCAAAGAGAGCATGACAGGCTTTCATCTCCTATGGACGGGGTTGCGCTGTGGGGGATACCTCCCTTTCCCTTTCCAGGCCTGCAGCCCCTGGCAGAAAGCTCCTGGATAAAAGAATTGGGGTGATAGAACCCAGGAGGCCCCAATATTGAGAAAGGTTCTAGCCTCCAGGTTTCACCTTTGTCTGGGCCCTAGGTTCCTGGGAGAAGTGAGGGGGATATCCTGGGGGCCAGAGAGTATTCTTTCCCAGGTTTCCTCAATGACTGCCATCCCACAAAGTCAGATCTTAACTACTAGCCTCTGTGGTCCCATCCTAGTCACCTGGTTTTGGCTGTCTTGGGGCTTAAGCTTGTGGATAGGCCCAAGGACTTAGTACCTCTTACAGAATTTCTGAACACAGCAGGAGAGGATGGGAATTGCTGAACCACAGGCACCTACTCCTGGAACATTATGCAGAAACACAGCAAGTCAGGGGAAGGAGCAGTGATGCCAAGTACTGCAACCAGACAGCACCTTCTGGCCCACCATGAGGGTACTAAATGAGAATTATCCTGCTCTCACCCCAATACAGTGTGGGACACTGTGTAGAGTATAGGCTATACCTCAGGTCAGGGTCTCTAAGAAACTAAACAAACCTTTTTATGACCCTTAGAAGACCTGGGGTGTGATGTGAGGGATGTCACCCAGCCTATCCTCTACAGATGAGGAATGGACTCATATGCTTTGGCTTAAACCTGCTTGTGACAGCTTGCTGCATCCCTTATATGGCCAGATAGCAATCTTCCTTAGAGAATCCTCCTTCCTACAAAGCCAAACCTGCATGCAGGAAGCATCTACCCTGATTCAGGTCCTGCCCCCAGGAACTAGACTGACCAAATCCACAAGGCTCCCTGAAGACATAATCCAAGTGGGGAACACTCAGGTCTATTGTAGGAAGAAAGGCCTGGGCTCAGACCTAGTGATGGCAAGCTGCCCTTCCCCTGGCTCCCTATCTAGGATGGCAGGAGACATGGCAAGGCCGTGCCCGAGAGCCATACATTCCTGGAGAACCATGGCGCGGGCTGTGTAATCATCGGCTGCATCTCTCAATTACTCCTTGGCCAGGACTGCAATTACCACATTATCCCTAATCGCCCAGTGTTTATTAGTGATGCTCTTCTCCTATCAGAGCTGCTATTACTCTACATTAATAACTGGGTAGGCAGGCAAGCTTTCCTCTCAAGCACAGACCACCCAATTGTCAGTGCTACCACCTCCCTAGCCCCAGCTCCGGGGGAGGTCAGACTCTTCACCTCTCCTCCACCTTTGGTCACATCCATGCCAACAGGAGGCTGGGGACAGACTTGGAATAGTCCAGGCAGGTACCAGAAGCAGCAAGGCTGGTGGGAATGGCAGGCTCCCTGCTGCCTGCCTACCTGTCCTTATCCTCCCTTGTCTGTGCTGGCCTAGACCCATACCACCAGGGGAACTTTGCACAGACCTGAACCTGTGTCCTCACTCTGGGTAGGAATTTGCCCTTTCCTGTCTCCAATTCAGAACTTGAAAAGCTCTAAAATTATAACTGCCCAGGGCAGTTTGACCTAGGCCTCTTTACTTCTGGTAACCCACAACTTACTGCTTTAAAAGGGAGCCCTTCCCTCTATCATCAAACTATGTGGTTTGTAAGGATACTCGCTACATGGTCCTGCTCAATGTCCTATTCCCACCAGTGGGTCCTTCTGTCCCCTGGGTGAGGCCGAGCTCTCCTCTACAAACATTGGAAGGTAGCCAGCATGCTCCTTCAAGTTTCTTTCTTCTTTAAGCTACACATCTCCTAGTTCCTTCAACTAAATCTCCTAGATATTGCTTAGACATGGCTGATGTGCTTTCCCACTGTGTGTTGATTTGGGCATGCCTAAATTCCCTCACAGGATCACTTGTTCCACTGACAGACAGGAGTATCTTCCAGCAATGTAGGCCAGCGACAGAGCTCAAGGACTGTGTCCCTCAGATGGGGTGTGCAGGCTGCCAGGTGGGATGGTTCCCCATTTCCTTCCCATATAGTCAAAACCCTGTAGCCTGACATTTAAGGCCTTCACTAATCTAGCTAAGCTTCCTGGTCAGCTCTACTTGTCACCATCCTAGCACTTATCCTTAGAAACCCAAATTTTGTATCCATACATGCCAGTGCTGGGGCACCACCACCCACTTGACCCCTGTAGTTCCTGAGATTCTGCCTCTGCCTCCAGCTCCCAGGGCCAAGCTGTGAACTGAGCATTCACTTGACAGACTGTTTGTGGAATCAGTAAACAAAAGAAAAACCTGCTGCCTCCAAGTCTTCTACTGACTTGTCATTAACCTGAGTGAGCAGTATATCATGTGTACTATATGTGTACAGGCCCTGACTGGTGCATCCTCCATCCCCACTCTCTACCCTAGCATAATATGACCATGCACTGAGGCTGCCTGGTGTCCGATGTTAGGAAAGTTCAGGGCCACTGCCTTCTGTATCTAGAAGACAGAGGCTGCTAGCTGCTTTGTCTTGGTGATGAGTTAGAAAATGGACAGGAGAAAGCAACCTGAAGATGCAAAATCTGGGAGGAGGGGACACCCCTGCTTTGGGGTTTGGCCTAGGGACTAAATGCTGAGAGCCCAGGGCGATGTTACCTCATTCTCCTCCTCATTATGCAGCTGTTCTGTGTAAGCATCCGGCTTTCGAATCAGAGGGTCCACCAGCATCAGGAAGGCCATGTAGAGTAAGAGGGCCCCTACCACAGACAGGTAGATGACGATGATGACCTAAAGAAGAGACCCGGTATTGTCCTGTGAACCAACATCCAGGGCCATAACCCCATTTCTAGTCTTATGCCAACTATGTTAGCTGCCAGTGACCACTCAAACTGGGCACTGGGACTAGGAGCAGTGTGGGCACGGAAAGAAGGGGGATGGCCCATGACAAATGCTCTGTTCCATGACAAAGAGTGTTCAGGCAGGCACTAAAATGACAAGTGGATGAGAGAAGAAACTACTGCCAGACATCCAAGTGGCTCTGAGGTGGGGTGACAAGCTGGGGCTACCTGGAAGTATATGAGCCTGTATCAGAGTAGAGATTCATGAGAAACTAGGCTAGAGCAAGGAGGACCAGCTGGGAGCACAGACCAAGAAGAGTAAGCCTGGGATTCCAAGCTAGGCCCACTGCGACTGCAGGATAGGAAGGGACAACTTGTGTCCTGAGAGGGTGCACTAGTCCATGTTGTGAGGCAGACTCAGCAAAAGTTTGCAACCTGGGGTTAAGGCCAATCTACTCTCCCCGAAGGAGGGGAAGGCATTTTAGGATGACAGCTTCAACCATCTCCCCCATGGGAAGCCTCCCAAGCTATAATAAACATGTCTTACAGAAAGGATAGATTCAGGCCAGCAATATGGCTCACTGACACCAAGCCTAATGAGCTGAGTTCAATCTCTGGGACCCATAGAGTGGAAGGAAAGAACTGACTTCTGAATGCATGGTGTGGCATGTGTCCCCATCAAATAAAGAAAAACGTAACCAAAAAAATTTTTCCTTAAAGGACAGATTCAACGAGGCTGATTCAGTATTTCCCAGTGAGTGCTCTAGAGGACTTTCAGCACTCATGGTCTCTGTAATTGTCACGGATTAGTCCACAGAAGCACCTTCACACAACCCAAAATGGCCCTGGGGGTTTGTGATAGCCACACTGAGAACCACAAGGCCAAATAACTCACCTAGGACCCAAAGCTAGAAAATGCAGAGATAAAACTTAAACTTAACTTTACTGACTCTACCTCAAATGCTTTTCCTACCTCCAAAATGCCTAGCAATTGCCAGTCTTGTCCTGACAATAAGAAGGGGTTCAAAAACAAAAAACAAACAGAGGCTAGGAAGATGGCTCTGTCAGTAAAGTGGACATGAGGATATGAGATTGATTCCCCAGAACCCAAATAAAAATCCAGGTGTGACTGTATGCACCTATAAGCCCAGTGCTGGGGAGTGGAGACAGGAGAATCCCTAGGGCTTGCTCACCAGCTAGTTTAGCTGAATTGGTGGGCTCCAGGTTCTGCCTCAAAAAAATAAGATGGAGTACAGCTGAAGAAGATGCCCAACAGTGACTGTGGCTTCCACATGCACACAAATACACGTAGAAAATGGAAAATCTCAGGACTTTTGAGGTTGCTGCTAAGTTTAGTGAAAAGCCAAGTTCAACTGGACCCACTTCCTCCTGAACTAGGGCAGCAGAACTCACGTCCCTTTAACAGGGTGAACAATCAGGGTATATTGCTTACACCCAGGAAAGGGCACAGAGAAGGCAGGCTGGGGCTATCTGAGCTGAACCTCAAGCAGGGGCTCCTAGGTAGAGGGAAATGTGAAGGGTTAGGAGATTGTGTCTGATGAGGTCTCCAAGCTGGGAAGACTTTCCCTTCCAAATAGAGAGAGGCTCTGAACTCAGGTTTGGGGCATATAGATGGTGCCTAGAAGATGGGGCATATAGAGGGAGTTCAGAACCAGTGAGAAGCAGGAGAGGCTGCCCCCAGGCAGGAGGGTGAACAGAGTGCAACCTGCACAGCCTGACAAGGATAGAGGAAGGCAGGCAGCTACTTTCCACCTAAAGGGGGAGAGGGGAGGTCTAGGCCAGGAAAGGGCCACGGTTCCCTAGGGTAGGTAGGGAGAGATAGCGTGAAGACTACTGTCCCTCCAAACACCTCAAAAGCAGGAACCTAAGGGAGGATTCATATGAATTATTTAAACTCATGTGAATTATTTCTGAAATTATTTTTAGATCCATTAGAGAATAAGCAGAAATATGGCTAAGAGGGGGTGGCTTCATGGCCTCTATGAGGCCAGGTCTGATCAGGTCCTGCCAAGTGGCAGAAGAATAGATTAGGATTTTGGGATACCCTTCTTCATTCCTATGTGGCAGCTGTCTATCACTTCTCTCCTCAGTTCACCCAGATGGTTAATGAGGACAAGACTCAGGAAAAAGTAAAAACCAAGTGCCAGCACCCAACACCTCATGTGCTCACAGAGGTTTTCTCAAAGGAGGGACATCACTTTGGAAGCCTGACTAAACTACAAGCTCTGGAAGAGCTTACCTCTACTCCAGCACCATGCATGGCACCAGACATTCAGCCACCCAAAGAAGATGTACTAAATGCCTGGGAGAGGAAGGGAAACAGAGTCTCAAACAGCTGTCAGAGTTCTCATTTCTCACTGCATAGGAGCCACGGCAGAGATGTCAAGGAAGAAAGCCTACCTCTCAAAGGTGTGGGGACAAGGTCCCTGTGCCTGCACTAGACCTTGGAATGTTTAAGAGAGCAAAAATGATGGGTACAGGATAGCCAGGGATAGGGCAGGTATATATGGCCCCCAAACCCGAAGTACCTTGATGGTGGTAGTGCTGCGCTCCTCGTACCTGCACTCACACAGTAGGCAGTAGGCCTCCACATCATGGCCAGGCACTGGCATAGGCTCCACCACATGTAGGCAGTTACTGCAACACAAACAGCAAGGGCTTAGGAAGGTCCTCCCACCTTGAGGCCCAGGAGGCAAGTAGAAGGGAACTGAGGGGTTAGAGAAGTCCCTAAGTAGGGACTCCCAAGAAGGGCAGAGGTTTATAAAGGGCAAGGCCTGCCTGCAGAACTCCCTTCTCAGCCAACAGCTTCCTGGCCTTTCGCCAGCACACCTCCATGCCAGCACCATACTCATCAATGGTCCCAGAGCCTGCCCTCAGCTGCCCTCTCCTGTGCTGCATTCTTCTTGTATTCAGCTCATAAGTCTCTGGCCTAAATCCCCCATTAGGTCTTCTGTCTTCTTATGAGCTGGACTCTTTATATCCATCGACTGCATTTACACCTGAGGGTTCTGTAGGGGCCAAGAACTCCACCTCCTCTGTGTACTGTCCTCTAGATCCCCGATCTTCACACTGGCTGAGGAGTGGGGTGTGGTGTGTGTTAGAGAGGGCTGGCAGAGAAGGCACCCCCAGAATCTACTCTGCCAACCAAGTCAAGCGTGGAAGTCATTTGTGACATCTCTTTTTCCTTACATCCAATCCACCAAATATCAGGATTATACTTTTCTAAAATGTCTAAAATACACTTTAAAAAATCCACGTATTTACTTTATATTGAATATGTTCATATTTCAGAGTTCTTACACTGCCAAACCATGCCTGAGAATCCAAAGAAAGAAATGGTACAATGGACAGCCTTATTCACCCATCATACAGTGTATTAAAATGTGATTCATGTGAAATTTCATAATTTCACGATCTTAAAAATTTTAAGTCAGAGTTTACATCTGCTGCAGGCCTTCAGATTTCCAGTATAGTTCACAGATAAACAAACCTCCTCACATTTGTCTCTGTTCACGTCTCAACCCCATCTTCTTTATTCCTCCCATTCTGGCATCTCAGCTGGGGCTCTCATTATCTTTCCCTGGGCAAATGTTCCTGTCTCCCTACTGCCCTTTTGTCTCAAGTTTGGTGCCTAATATTACCTTCCCTTAGTGGCCAAGTAACCATATCAAAACAAAACTCCTGTTACATTATTCTTCAGCTTAAAACCAGTTAGTGCCTCCATAGCCCCTCCAGGGTCCAGGCAAACCAACGGCTCCAGCAGGTCTCTATAGCCTCTCTCAGGCCCTAATTACAGCCTGATCTCCTGCCACTTCCCCAGCTCCCTGCCCCCTACCCCAGAGCGAGGCTGACCTGCTGGGCTGTTCTCCAAGGAGCCAGATCCTAAACTACCCTTGCTAGGAATATGTGGTTCCACCTACCTCCCTTTTCCACTCAAGAGGATTTAGCCTTAATGTTTGACCATTCCCACTGTCAGCTCCCTTGCCTCATCCCCATCACATACTTAACCCTACCTTGATTTGCACTGTTCTACCCAGTGGATGTAAAGTCCCTTGAAGACGGGAGTTACACCTTACATGTCTCTATATCCCCTGTATTAGCATGGTGCTGGCCAGGGCTCTGAGAGTGACAAATGCATCACATGCTCTGAGAGTGAGCCCCCACAGCCCACTGTCACCAACAGTGTTCCTGAGCAATGTGGGCAGACTGTGCATTAAAACAAGAGGTGCAAGCCCAGGACAGCAGAAGTGGCAGCTCTAGCATGTGTGTGAGTCCTTGGCCCACCACCCACAGCTGATTCAGTCTCAGCTGGGCTTTAACCTGTCTCTGCAGTTAGTATTCTCATTGCCAGCAATCCCTGGATCAGCAAGTTGCCAACCCCCACAGGAAAACCATGATCACTGGGAAGAAAAGATGCCCCTTAAAGGTTGAGAGAGGTGAACCAGGTATGTTAGAGTGGATGCCCAAGCCCAGATCTTGCCTTGATTCTGTCACTATCTGTGTTCTGGGCTGTCCTCTCTTGTCAGATGCTGCAGTTAACACAAGGAGACCCAGGTAACCTTTAAAAGGCTATTCTAGGGTCAGATTAGTATATGACTTTAATCCCAGTACTCAGGAGGCAGAGACAGTTGGACCTCTAAATTCAAGGTCATTCTGCTCTATATAACAAGTTCCAGGCCAGCCACAGCTACATAGTGAGACCCTATCTCAAAAAGAAAAAAAAAAAAAATGTTCTCCTAGCTCTAAAGGTTAAACATGGCAACATGGCTCCCTGAAAACAATCAAGTCCTATCTTCCAGGGTGTCAGGCTGGGTTTCTGCCTCTGTGCAAGGTGAAGATCATGTACTGAAATAAGGGAGGAACGTTCTGTAAAAGACTCCGTTTCTCCTTATTTCCAGTCTATGGCATACACAAGTTTAACTAAACCTCTGATGACCCTGGTTCCACCTCTGAATAGCAGTTGCAACCACCTATCCTTTTCTGCAGGAATGGGTCTGTCTCTCTACTGTACCTAGGGGTACTACCTGTAGGCCCTGCATACTGCCTCCTCTGGAAATTGCTCACGGATAGGCAAGTTTCCATTGGTCACTGGGGCCAGGAATAGTGGTGCATACCTGTAATCCCAGTTCTCAGAAAGCTAAGACAAAAGGAACTTGACTTCAAGGCTGCCCTGAGCTATGTGAGACTGTCTCAAAAAAAACCTAAAACAAACAAACAAATCAATTGTTCATCATTCCTATCCAGGGAGAATGCCACCTTCTCTACACCAGCAAATTAAGTCTCCTAGGAGCAGAGTCTTCCCTTTCCCAAGTCACAAGGGCTATGGGTCTAGAAGATGCTCCAGTGCCTCAATGGGACCTGTGAATGTGCCCAGAAGGCCAAGGTGTAGAATCAGGAAGCCAACCTGATTTCTTCAATTTGGAACTCTGTTGCCCAGGGAAACAGGATGTAAGGGGAAAGGGAGAACAACAATAAAAAGCTAAAATATTTCTTCCCTCTTTGGCTGTCCTGGGAGTTACTGAGACCCTAAATATTTTCTTGCTTTCCTAAGAAGGGTTTCCATTTACCTCTTGGCGGCTGGGCAGGGAACATTGAGGGTGGGTGAAAGGGAAAGACAGGCTGGATATAATTCTCTGTTCTCTAACTCATACAGTGTGATTTCAGGTAACTTACTTAATCTCTCTGGGCTTCAGTTTTTTTCATTTATAATGAAAGCTAAATTTGATCAAACTGTGCACTTGTGGGTTATACTGGAGATACTGCATAGGAGGCAGGTAGGAAGCATTTGCGGACTTTAACAAGTCATCTGAGACTTGTCTCTGTAACACTTTAACAGACCCACCAACATGGACTTTCAACACAGATGGCAGGATACCAGCAACACAGGAATACACATGGCTTAGCCACTATATCAGGCCTGCATTGAAGGTCCTGGCCTCAATTTACACCACTAGCAGGGAACACACAGGACAGCAGAATAAAAATGTGGCAGAGACCTGAAGAGTCAAAAAACTTTCCGATCCTAGCACTAAGACTTGAAGATTAAGGTCAAGCCCCACCTAAAGGGCTCCAAGTAAGCAACTGATGGCACTCAGGCAGGATCAATGGTATTGGGCCCTAGAATCCTCAGGTCTCACCTCTAAGCTTTGGTTTCTACCTACTAGAACTGCTTTGATGTAAGGTTCTTGATATAAGACTGCTCATCAGGGGCTGGAGAGATGGCTCAGTGGTTAAGAATACTGGCTGCTCTTGCAAAGGACCTGAGTTCAATTCCCAGCACCCACATGGTGACTCTCAGCACTCACGTGATGGCTAACAACCATTCATAACTCCAGTTCTAGCAGATCTGACACCATCTTCTGACCTCTGTGGGCATTGCACGACATGGGTGCACCTATGTATATGCAAGCAATACACTCATATACATAAAATAAAAATATTAAAAAAAAATTGTTCATTAGGCAGCTCCCCAAGTCTGACTTCTAAAGAGAAAAAAGGGTTAAACTATACCCTGAGAGTTCTAGGCAGGACTTCATCCTCTGGGCAGCCAAGCTTGGGTTTTCCAGGCCATGTTATAACCCCAGGACAGGGTTACTAACATTTGCCAGTAGCAGAATCTGCTTGCATGAGGAAAGTGGGATGCAGCCTTGTTATCCAGTGTAGGGGTAGGAGAGCCCAACAGTGTCTTTGCTGATGACTGAGGTCTCTCCCAGGCTTCCATGTTTTAGGGTTTTGTGAATCCATCCAGTCAATAAAAAGCATAAGAATTAGTCCTAGAGGAGCTATTTCCTAGGGCTATAGCATTACGTTTGACTATGTGACTTCTAGGAATGATAATATATTATTAATAATAATATCAGCTAACATTTATATAGCACTTAGTATGTGCCAGGTTATCATTCTAAGTGCTATACAAACTCATGTATGTATACATATTTCGCACTCAAAATACTACTGCACACATAAGGAAATCAAAGTACAGTGAAGATTAAGAAATCTGTCACACAGTTAACAAATGGTCATGTTAGCGTGGAAGCCATGAAGGGTGGATCCAGTCTATGCATCCACCTATACTGCATCTCAGAAAATCAGACTGCTATCTACAAGTCTGAAAACAACCAATTGGAAAAGTCTCACCTGTTGCTCTGGATCAATGCCATCAAGGACACCTGAAGAAGTCCCACGCCACTACCATATTTACTAAATCAAAATCTTGGAAGAAGGGTGCTAGGAATCTGCATTTTCTCAAAGCTCACCTAGTGATCCCGATGTACAAAGAAATAGCCCCCTCCAATACTATGCATCTACAGCAACCTCACCTCATGTGTACTCCAATGCCTTCAAGGATGAGGCTTCCCATCCTAAAACTACCAGAATTAGAAATGTTTTCCTAACTCACACTGAGGGCTAGTTCCCTGAAGCTTTCAGCCACTGGCTCCATTTCTACTACACTGAGCCCACCTGATCTGCACCCACACCCAATCCCACAGACCCCCAGCCAGCCCCAGAATGCCAGCCTTTTGCCTTGTCTTGATCATTCATCAAATATCCCTAGGTTCTCTCCTTTTTCAGGGAGATTCCAGTTCCTTAAACCATTCCTTCTACAACAATGTTTACACTTCCTTTCACTGATCTTCTTTGACTGAATGAATTTTTGGTTATTCCTCCCTTTTCAAAAGCAAGGCACCAAGAAATGAACTCAAGAGCAGAGACTCCAGAAACATAATTGAAGATCTCTGTTTGACCTCAGTCTATGCAATTATAAAATGGAAACAGTATCTAATCCATTTACCTTATAAGGTTGCTATGAGACTAGCACAGAATACAGGTAATAGAGCTTTGCAAAAGCATTGACTGTTCCCCAGTATGTATCCATAATACCTACCTCTCCCAGCTTATCTACTACTCTTTTGCATATAACAATAAAGATTCAAATTCAAAGTAAAACAAAATCCAGTCTTCTAACCAGGAATCCCTCAGCTGAAATTCACCATATCTGAGTTCTGTTATCAAATGGTTAAGGACAAAATTTTCCTTTGTAAGGCTTTCCACAGGAATGGGATAGCTTATCTTTAGGAGGTTCGAGAATTCTAGTAAACACTGATAACTTCAAATTAGGTGATGCAGGAAGGGCCAACCATGTGTAATCCTTACCAGTCTTTCTGAGATACATTCTGGTTGTAAATGTGTCCACTGATGTTTCTATAAGGTGGACATATACATTTGCACCGGATATCTTCAGAGCTCTGGAAGAAAACAAGCATATATCAGAAAGGGAGGATTCCTGCTCTGGGCTACCAACTTCTAGTTCTTTGTTCTGTAGGGTATGCTATTGAGTTCTTTGCTCTGCAAGGTATGCTACTGAGCATTCCCAATTCAGTGAGGACTGGTTCTGTGAGAAGACTACAACATCCTCAAGACAGAAACCAGTCAGGTAACAAAAGAGACTCATGTAAGTAGCCTAATGCTGCCATTCTTGAAGTAGGGTGTTTGTGCAGGATATACAGCAAACAGTGACAGTCCTGTACCCTGGGCCCCACACTTGTGTATTTCTGTCCAGTGGGCTGGGTAGCCAGATTTTCCCTTAATTCTATCTCAACTTATTACATAAGAATTGGGAGGGCAAAAAGGGCACAGATGAATAAGGAAAAGTGGCTGTTGCCATAGGAAAGCACTAATTAAGAATTCCCTGTAGGGCAAAGAGGCAAACGCTGAGACTCAACCTCACTTCAAAGTTTTAGTTAGTGCTCAATGACCTTCACAGTCCACCTAGATTCAGCTGCTGGCCCTCTACCCGTAAGGAATGGGAGTAATCTCAGGAGCCTTCCAGGCAGGTGGGTCAGCTTTAAAACAGAAGTTCCCATCTGTACAGGCCTTTACACTCACAGCATTTTTACATTTGATTATTCCCTAGTTGAGTAGCAGATACAAACCTCGACTAATTTTACCTAGGACAAAGAATGGTAACGGGAATTATCCAAATGGGAATTTGGATAACGTCCCTAAACAACCTTGCTTGCTCGAAGGAATTCCGTCAAGGGCTAGTTTGGCCTGGAACCTGTGCCCTACACTCCCTGCACCCTTAGGAAGACCTGCAGCTTGGCTCTGGGAAGACACTCCAAGTATGGTGGGTGAGAGGCAGGGATGGTGCTGCTGGCTCATTTCCCTCACCTTGTTAGCTTGAGCTGGGGGCACCAGCAAGCACCCGACCACAGCCACCAAACACAGGAGCTTCATGCTTATCAGGCTTGCTGAGTCAGCAACACCAGACGCCTGAAAAAAAGAGATATGGAGTCGGGAGTCAAGGGAAAGGTGGCCACACCATTGCCAGCACTCTCGGCCCATTACAGGCCTGCCAGACGCGGGAAGGGGGCTGGGCTCCAGGACTCCAGGGCCTTCTAACCTTCGACCTTTCCCTTAAGCCCTGCTCTCCGCTGGCCACCTATGCACCAGGAGAAGGGTCCTTCTGGGGGTCCAGGCGCTTGGAGCCCCCAGATTCGCCACCAGGCCCCGTCCCGACCCTCGCATACCCTCCCACCGCCATCTCAGCCTCCGCCGCCCGGCAGCGCCTCTCGCTCAGGCCGGAAGAGAAGCCCAGAGCCTATGGCAACGGGCACTGCCCACCGCACCTTAGGATTTGGGGGCCAGCTAGGAACCCCCAGTGCCCCCGCGACCCCCGCACCCCTCCCCCACGTTGCGTCCACCAACCTGCAAGCCCCGCCGCAGCCGCCACCAACTAGCAGGCCCCGCCCCCGGCTTCTATTGGTCGCTGGAGCCACCGCTCAGCCCAACTCACTATCGTCTAGGCAATAAGACCCACCTTCGCCTCCTCGCCAGGCTAAGGGAGAGGTAAGCATTTCTCAAACCCGATCTAGCAGGAAGAGGGACCGTCTGCCTTCCAGACTGGGAAGGAGAATCTTCCCTGGTATGGCCAGTCGAAGTCCTGAAGTGCTTTGCTCTTCCTTGTGTTATGCCATCTTCCTGTTTTAACGAAAGCGTTTTAGAAACTAAGCTCGCAACAATAGTAATGATTGGGGGGGGGGGGGACTCCACAAAGATCAAGGGACATTGCCCTTGTTCGCAGTATGAAAATAATGTTTGGAGATCCCCGTCCTTTTTGCAGAGGACCTTGGGTCCCTGTCTCTACCCCTATACATGAACACACGTGAGGAGGACAAAACAGATTTGGTAACAGTTTGGGGAGACAAGAGGGGACTATGGAGTGTTCACAATAACCTCATCAGCCTGGTCCCCCTGCCCACTGCTTCTAAAGGCCTGGCGAATTGAGACAAGGTATATAAGGCCAGGCTGGGAACAGGGGAAGGTGGAAGGCTGCAGAGGTGAGCTTCTGACCAGCTGTGAAGGAAAGAGGAGTCGTCTGAGTCCAGACAACTGGAATAAGGATGCTTGATTTGGCCTTGGCCCTGCCCCTGCCTGCCACTAAGCAGCTGTGTATTCCTAGTAAGGACACCACCCCTCTCTGGGTGCCAGCTTCCTCAGTAAAATTCCCTTCAGCTTTGATGGGTTGGGGGTCCTGGAGGGAGGGAGAAATCATATGGCCAGAATGTAATTTATTTATGTTTTACACAAGAGCTTTCCTTCAAAACATTTTGTTGTTGTTTGAGACAGGGTCTTCCTGTAGCCACAACTGGCCTGGAGTGCCCTATGCAGGCCAAGCTGGCCTAGATCTCGCAGAGATCTACCCTGCCTCTGCTTCCTGAATGTTGGGATTAAAGGCATGTGCCATTAAGTTCAACACCTCCAGAATGTTTTTTAAAGTACCATTGTGCCTGCCAGGTAATGCATTAGATACTGAGGCTATGTCAGTAAACAAGGCAAACCCTGTCCCTGCTCTTGTGGAACTTGATGTTTATTGCAGTGGTCAAGATGCCACACAATTTAGGGTGGTAAAAGCTTTGCTGGGTGATGAATGCAGAGGCTGGTGGGAAACCTAGACTGAGGGCCAGGGGGGCCCAGAGTGGTAGAGAGGAAGCTTTGAGGATGGCCAGGGTCTCCCTAAGCTGGTTGAATGTAGTAAGCAGAATAACTCCAGCATCACTGTCAAATGTCCATGTGCCAGAAGCCCTAACTATGGCTCTTAGGATGGAGAGAGTAGCTTGGACTATCCAGGTAGGTCCAATCCAATCAAGTGAGACCTTAAGAAAGGAATCTTTTCTGGCTGTGGTCAAAGGAAATAACATGGTCATGTATCAGGTGCTATGTTTCTTGGCATTGAAGATGTAGGAAGGGGCTTTGAGTAAAGGAATGTAGGTGTCTTAGGAGCTGGAAAAATCAAGGAAACAGATTCTTTGCTACAACTTCTAGCAGCCCTACAGATACACACCTTGATTTTAGTTCACTTTCACTTGTGTCAGACTTAAGTCCCACAGAGATGTAATACATTTACATCTTTGTTAAGACAGCAACAAGTAGAGTGGGGGGAGGGAACTACAAAGAGATGGAAATGCATGTAGAGAAAGAGCAAATGGCCCAGCATGGGTCTTCTTATACCTCCTTTTACTCCAACAATCAATCCTAGCATGAGTTTGCCCATATAAGCCAGGTCTTGGCATCCATGCCAGAGCAGAGAATTTGAGTTCTTCCTCACTCCCTGTGAGTCTGGACTTGATGGCTGTCATCACCTGGAGCTGTGTACCTCTCCCTGATATTGGCTATAGGCTCCTACTTTCCCTCTAATAGCCAGCAAAGCTCATCTGTCCAGTGCCCCATAGCCTCAGTTTCCCAACCACCCCTGAGCTACACTACCAGATCATCCAACCTAAATAGAGATTAACACCCAACCAATAGAAATTCAGTCACTTGTAGGATGTCTAAAAGGTCAATAATTCAGGGCATGGATTAGTCTTTGAGGAAGCTGGCACTCTGCCCACAGATGGCACATCAGGTGTCTGGCAACATCTTTGGAGTGGAATGGGCACCATTCTCAGATACCTTAAATGCCTTCCCTCTAAGAAAAACAGGATTTCTTTTTTAAGAAAAATTATTGTATGTGTATGAGTGTTTTACCTACGTGTATACATGTACCCATGTGATGTAATGCCCACAGAGGCCAGAAGAGGGTGTCAGATCCCCTGAAACTGGAGTTATCCATGGTTGTTAGCTTCCATGTGGGTACTGGGATTTGAACCTGGGCCCTCTGCTAGAGCAGTGCTATTAACTGCCGAGCCATCTCTTCAGCCCCCAAAGCAGGGTTTCTCAAACATCAGAGAAATGGGGCCACTGATTTAGGGATGGGGTGCTCTGCTGTGTAGGCATCCTCTCCCAGTATCTCCAGACACACTGCACTCTCAACACCATCTCACTAAAATGATATTTCACCAAAGAACAGTAATCATATTAATTAGGGAACTCAGCATAAAATTCTGCCCAACTAATTAATGAATGATATAAGCTCTCCAGTCCACTATGCAGACAGGCAGAATCCCACTCAGTAGATGCACATTCTCATTTGAGCACTGGCCTCACTTTCTGCCATTCAGTCTAGCAGTTGCTCACTAGGTATCATGGTGCTCAAGTACAGAATGCTTCCTTGCCCACAGCTCTATTCTTCTTGGCTCTCAGCTCCTGACTCTTGGGCATGCACTTTGGGTGTAGACTTCATGACATGGCATACATGTCAGATCACAGCTCACTTTGGGATTCCAATTTTCTTTCCCAAGCCAGATATCTTGGGGTTTTTGTTTGTTTTTCAGCTCACAGTTGTGAGGAGCAGGCAGAGTGAGGCTATGGTAAGTCCTTGGGATCAAATTCACAAGGACTGCTTCTCCTTTGAAGGGACTCCTGTCAGAGCATTAACCCACAGGGCCTCAGTTTCCCTCCATAGAAATTTGTTAAAATAGCAGATTTTAAACATCTGCTTATAATATAATATTAAACATCCTCTTATAATATTTAAAATTATTTAGGACTCCAAAGAGTGTTTGTTTCTGTAGGGTCTAACTATATATTCACTATGAAAAATTAAAACAGAAAAGTTTAAAATATTTAATTTTAAGTTGTATGCATAGACATCTTTTGATAAACTGTATGAAGGACAGGAGTGGCATTTATTTGCACTTTTTGTAAACCCCTGTAATATTTTGCTGAATGGAAGACAGCTAGAGTCTCACATCTGCTTCTTCAATTAATCGTTTGTGATATTGCCTGTTATCTAACTTTGGAAAAACTCCATTGTGTACTTGTAGCAAAATCAGAGAGACTAATTCTAGTAACATCTAAGTAGTTCTCAGAAAACACTTTCAACTTGTGATTTCTCTGAAAGAGTCTTAGAGACTTAAAAAGGTCAGATTCTGGTTTAGAAGACCCTAAATTTTCTATGAGACATGACATTCCATGGTCTGCGAATGCTCCATGGAAGTAGTTTTCTTTATTTTAATTTTTTGAATTGTTTATTCTAATTTTATGTGTGTGAGTGTTTTTCCTGCATGTAAGTGCACCCAAACTTGCAATGTCTGCGGAGGCCAGAGAAGGTCATAGGATCCCCCGGAATTGGAGTTTCAGACAGTTGTTAGCTAACATGTGAGTGCTGGAACTGAACCCCTGTCCCCTAGTGCACTTAACTTCTGAGCCATCCATCTCTCAGCCCCTCTGGCAATATTTTTCAAAAATACATTTTAGAGCCTTTAATTCCAGCACTCAGGAGACAGAGGCAGGTGGATCTCTGTGAGATGTAGACCAGCCTGATCTACATAGCAAGTTCCAGGCCAGCTGGAGAGACAGGGAGGCCCTGTCTCAAAAAAAAATTTTTTGACAACATACACTCCTAGGAATATTATCAAGGGATGTTACTGTATGTTGGGTGAAACCTGTTTGTGGGGTTAATGTGACCTCTGTGAATAAATTAGTGTGAGAAACGTTAAAGTAAATTTAATACAAATATTTTCCTTCTGGACTTTTTAGATGCTTCAGTACCCATTATGAATCTCTTAAGCCATATTACTGTATTATATAGCATTTGTCCATAGTTTTGATATTAACTATCTTTTGAAGACCGTCTTTCAAAACTGTACCAAAGTAACTCTCTTTAGATTATGTTCTAGCATTTGGAATCAATTTCTCTTGAAATAAAAATCATACGTACTTTTTGGAGAAATTTTATAGTAACCATTTCTAGAACAATGATAATTCAAGTTGCCAAAATTTTGGCCTCTGGATAAGAGATTTTGCTGGAAAAAAAACAGGGTATTAGTTGAATGAATGGATAATAACTATATGGAGTAGTTACCATGTGTCAGAAACCCAAAAGAAGATACAATAATCATAATGTGTGGTGTTGGTGGAGGTAATAGACACCTAGATCAATGGAAAGGAACAGATAGCCTGGAAGATAGATCCAGGTAAATATGTCCAAGAGATTTTCTTTTTTTTCTTTTTTTTTTTTTTTGCAATGCTAGAGATTGAACCTTAGAGCTTTGTGTATGCTACATCAGTACTCTCCCACTGAGTTATAGCCCCAGCCCTCTTTTTACTTTTTATTTTGAGAAAGGATCTCATTAAGTTGTCTAGGTTGACCTTGAACTTATGATCCTCCTGCCTTAGCCTGTACTACCAGGCCCAGCTTTTCCAACTGACTTTTGACAAAGGTGCATAAGTAATGCAATGAGGGAAAATAGTAGCCTTTTCAATAGGTAGTGCTAGAGCAATGGCACGTCCATAGGCAAAAAGTGACCCATGACTGCTGAAATGTTGCATCTTTTTAAAAATTGGGTTTTATTACAATGATATTTTTATACATGTATGTTTATGTACTTTATGATATTTAAATTTTATGTGTATAAGTGCTTTGCCTGCATGTATATATGTGTAC